ATTACAGCAATTTTTCCTATTCGTTCATCCGATTCGAGAGTAAATCACTTCGGCGAAGCTTTGTCTTCATTGTGTTATTTTCATTGATTATCATTCAACGAAATGTCGTTGATTCATAGCGGAGAGACGGACGTTAATTCAGTGACTGGTACCTCGAATTCAAGCTAATAAAAATGACAATAACGCATCGACAAGAAGAATCGGTAACCGGTGTGGAACACCATCCGCGTAAACAAGCAAGGGTTACCAGCAACTAGTGGCGTTTGTTGAAACCCAACCCTCGGTGAACCCTCCTTTCCCTTCCATTCACTCCCTTCCTGAATAGACACTCCCTCTCGATCTCCACGTATCAACCCCTCTCTCCTAGCCGTTTCTCTCACCCTCGCTCGTTCACCGTTCCCCTCTTCGCTCGCTCTCTGTCTCTTTCCCCCTTCGACACGCGCGGCTTTCTCTCGCGCGCGCGTTCTTCTACCTCTGGAGCAACTCGCAGCATCCATCGGCCCGCTCCGGACTTCAGTCCATGTCGAGAACGCGGCACCGCCGGGACCCTAAGGACCCTTCGACATTCACGAATCCTTCGACCTAGTAGCGAGCTAGTGGTATCGAGACAAAGCTGTTTCATTCGAAAGCCACAGCCCGCGTTTCGATCGAAGAAACGCCGGCCGATCGAGCGTATTTCTCGAAATAAACCCGACACCGCAAATTCCTGCCAGCGAGAAACTGATCTCGTTCCACTGGAGAACTGGAGAACACCTCCATGGTACCTGAAACTTGAGCCTTCCTCCTTGATCGAGCGTCCTATGCGAAACCAGCGAAACACAAAGAACCTCGACAGCATTCTTTCGACACGCATTCTTAGAGCATCGAGATCCATTTACGTATAACACGACGAAACAAAGAATTCGATTCTTTCCGGTTGATTCGTCGGCCAAGAACCTGTGCCCCGAAACGATAAGCGATCGACCAGCCGCCCGATTCTAACACGGACAGTTCGAAAGATTTGCCGACGAAAGATACAAACGTTAGATAATCGCATTTAGAGGTAATTTGCGCGCGAAGCGTGATCTTTGAGGAAGCGGCAGTTGGGAGGGAAGAGGAGCCACGAGGGCCCGCGAGGAGACTGAAGAAGAGGGATTTCCCGCGAGACTGCCGGGGGTTGTTGCCCAGCCCCGGAGAAGCGGACATCAGGCCCGGATGTTCGCAAGAACGAGACGCCGAAAGCGCTGCGATGCTGCAAGGGAAACTTTTCACGGCCGTCAACAAGTTCCTTACGACATCCCCTTTGGTTAACAAAATCAAGTTGCTGATTGTAAGTTTCTGCTTCTTCTATCTTTCTCTCTCTGTCTCTCTCTCTCTCTCTCTGCACTTATCTTTCTATCTATTTCTCATTACTTCCCCTGTCCCATGTCTGCCTTTAACCTTCTTCTCTGGTGGCACAGTTTCTCTTCGACCTTATTGAGAAAAGTTGTCAGTCGCTGTCTCCGGTTTGATTGTGTCCCGAGCCGTCCCGTGGAAACTGTTTAAAAGATTGTCGCGCGTATCCTTCACCAGTCAGATGATGAACGATATTTGTTGTCACTTTTCCACCACTGTGATCTTTTCCTATCCGCCTTAATGGAAAAAGTGCATTAGTACGAATATAACGTATGAAATTGAAACTAGTACTTCGGATCATTTGCTTCAATGGCAAGCACCATAATCTTGCGAGCAAACGAAACGTAACGTGAAACCTTTGGAAGTGCGGTGAAATTTTTTTCAAATTTCCTCGTTGCAATAACGCAAGTTCCATACTTAGAATCAAGTATGTTACATCTTGCATCTGAAAGGAACGAGGAATAGCCCGCAACCAAGACGTTTTCTAAAATGGAAAGAAAAATGCCTTGGGTAATTCCATAGTAATTATATGTTAGAAAGCTGTGTAGTTTTTACAAGCTTGCCTTTCTTCAGATTAAGAAAATATTCATAGTAGCTTCTTTCCAGGAGTGGATCTTTTTTTGTTTACCAGACTACGAAACGAGACTTCTGTGCCAGCGAAATGGCCCGTAGAAACTTCGAACTGGTTTTTCCAAGTCGCGAATAGAAGCACCTTTAATTGCACACAATTATCTAGCCCCACGCTTGTTTGAGCGACACCTTTTTCTATCACTGGCTCATCTAATTTGCTACTCTCTCGTTTACTTTCTTTCGAGTATCCCCCTCGGGTCTCGAGTTAATCTTCGATAATTGTGAAAAAACGCAGGCGTTAAAGAGTCACAGTGTCGTATTTCGCCAAACGACACGTAAGAATTAAATAGATAAATTAATATCTCATCGTAGTTTGAAATTTTCTGGTGAAAAAGGACAGCGATATTTCATTAAATATATGTATATATTGTCAGGCACGAAATATAATGTGTATAGATTATGAAAATCCAGCCAAATCATTGATCGAACACTAATGTAATTCGATAATGTTCAACTACGTGGATCCTTACACGCGCATCTCTTGCTATGCTTCGAATTGTATGCAGATACGCGTCGGTTGTTTGCCAGACGAAACAATCGGAACACACTCCATTTCCCTCGTTTTAACTTGTTGCTCGACGTACCTTTCCGACGTACCGTGTCCTCCCGTATGTTTGTCGCCGATTTCGATTGAATACCACGCTTCCGTCACTGGTAAATCCTATGAAATTCGTCGCTGGTATCTAACAATGATTACGACCGAATGATCAAAGGCATACGTATCATAATTTCGCGTTGCGTCCCTGATGCAATATCGTTTGTCTTTCCACCAATTCCTTGAATGTTTAATACCGGATAATCTGTCTCAGCTTTAATTTAATTAAATTTTATTAAGGAACAAACGTCTAGATCGGGTATCAGAAATAACGAACAGTTGGATTATCAGAGAAATACGTTTCAGGAATTATCCTTATTAGATATGTGCCACTCACTGTATCATCATTTCATGCATGATCTTTGGTTAAAAGGGAATATAGATGATAGAGCAACGTCTAAAGATGAGAGATTGACAATTTTAAAATACAAAAGTATATTGACACGAGTATTTATTGTGAATTCATAGAGTTTGTACAGTTATAGTATTTGACTTGAGTATCTAGTGAAAAAGGAAGAGACAATGCATGAGGTTCGAGTAATACAGTGGATCGAAACTATACGAGTCAGACACTCTAGAAAATACAACCGATCGGTAATCCTCGACGATCATTTTATCTGTTATCATAGCTTCGGATATTTTGTTACTTAATATCAATATATACTTTACAACACCAAGCATTACATACTTTAACGCCGCGTTTCTTTCGTTCGTCCTCTTTCAAACTCCACGAGATGTTCCCATTTAGAAG